CAGTCCCCCGCCGAGGATTCGACCTCAGGTTTAGGTCTGAGACCCAACCTGGCCGATGGTCTGTTCCATCCCATGGCCGGCATGGCCAGGGGAGAGGGGAGGCTCTGGCTGGAAGTTCTCTCTCTTGCTCCGGGTTGTCTCCCTCCGGGTCACCCCTCTCTCAGGGTCGTCTCGGACACTCGGGCTCTTATCTCTGTTCCATGAGTGTGGATTCGGGACTCTCTCTGCTCTGTGAACAGACACTGTGTGATTAGTGATTAGCGGGACTGAAAATTTGCTTCTTTTGCAGGTCAATCGCTTTAACAAGGTGGAGGACAGAGCGATCTTCATCACCGATCGGCACCTTTACAAGATGGACCCTATGAAACAGTACAAAGTGATGAAGACCATCCCCCTCTATAATGTAAGTACAAAGACTGCGGAATCTCATCTCAGGCTCTCTTAGGCATGGGCAGTCATCTGCTGTTTAGCTCATTTTCAGATCCATACAATGGAAAAAGACCTTGCTTTACAGTTTTTAATATATTTAATATATTTAAATATATTTGATGTAGTACAATTATCTACAACACTGATGCATCAAGATAGCTTTTCATTTCAGTGCATAAAGTAAAAGCTAAGCCCCAAACTGCTTACCAAACCCTCTTCTGCTCGTTCTTCTGTTTTTTACGTGCTGAGCGCTGTAAGATCGTGGCCCCGTGAGGGGGTTAGCGTTTCACAGCAGTTCCTGACACAATTCCTGTGTCTCTGGGGGTTTGTTTGATCCTTTGTGTCGTGTTTGAATTTTTCTTTTTATATATTTGTTCATGTTTAATGTAAATCTTATCAAAGCTGAATTTGGAATTACGGTGAGGTGTCTGGCCTTCGGGGTAGCGGAGTTTAGCTGCCGGTGACAAAGCAGCAGATTATCACTGGTGGGATGGGGGAGGGGGAAAACCTCGTCTTGGCTCTTCAGCATCCTGGAGTCGGGGGTTCATCTGCTTGTTTGTTTTCCTCAGCCCGAGGTAACACTGGTACGGTTATCTTAAACCTGCAGAACCTGGCTGGGTGGCTTGGAAATGTCAGTTTGTTGGGACGTTTGCATTTGGAGAAATAATAAATCTGACGGCCCCAAGAGCAGAGATGGGATTAGGGTAACGGTAAGCGGTAAAATCTGGTAACAGTAAAATCTGATCTGCTAGTGTGGAGGGAATGAGCAGTTCAGGCTGGGTTTGCAGCTCCTCTTCTCGCCTCCTTGCTGCTCACCCACCCAAGCCGAGCGCCGACCGCCCACCGCAGCGTGTGTCCGGAGCAGCGCGCTGCTCTGTCCGGTTTGTGGCCCCAACCAGAGCATTCGCTGTAGCAAAGCAATGTCTTGTGTCTCGTTTTGAACAGACCTTGCTGCCAGCACGTCAGCAGCTGCAGGTCGTTCTCCGCAGTTCTGTTCTACCGACATTATCCCTTACTGGTGCCAAATGGAACTGTCAGCAGATCCAGTGGCTGCCTCCTGCTTGTGCAAAGCGACTTGTTCAAATCACAGAATCACAGAATCATTAGGATTGGAAAAGACCTCAAGGACCATCAAGTCCAACCGTCAACCCAACCACACCCACCCCAC